AGGGTTTTTAAAATATTCTTTTATATTCTTATAGTAACAATAATTTAAAATAAAATATTTTATGTATATACCTATATATTATATTTATAATTTATAAGAAAAAAAATAAGATATCGTAATAATAAGTAATGTATATTATTTATTTATTTTTTAAATATGATTTAAAAGTAGTAAGTTCCTACACGAAAATTTAAAAACTTTATTTCTAAAGAACAAACTAAATCTATACAAAAACGGAAAACCTGCAAATCTATACAAACATAATTTTTAACGCATTTAGGATTTAGTTTCAAGTTAAAAAAGTTGTTAGTAAAAACATATTGTTTAATACTTATCATCAGTGACCTTTTGTAAGCAATGTTATATAGTATATACTTAACATTAATAATGAAAAGTTTTTAAGTTTTTACTGATAATTTGAAATTTTCTAAATGACTTAGTTTAATAAAGTTAACGACCGAAAAGAGGAATGAGTTTTTTTAGTGGAACTCGAACTGAAGCGAGTTTTTCTTTTGGGAAATAAACGATTTTATTATAAAAAGAAAATTTCCCAACATTTATTTTTTAATAATAACTCAGAGAATTGTCGTGTGATTATTTGCAATTATTTGTATCGGTAAAGAGTCGAGTAATTCATACTGATTTAATAATGTTTGTCTATGATCACTTACAGTGTTCTAATATTTACAATATTGTGTTCTAGTTTTCAATCGCATAATATTATAACTATTTATAATTGTAGTATCAAACTTATTTAACGTCTCCTCGGTCGTAAGTGGCCGGCAGATACGATCAGAGGTGGAAATTAAAAGCGAAACTATGAAAATCCGTTTTTAGCTGTACGCTTTATTATTTATTTTCGTTTAGGATAATGTGTACACAAACGGCGTGTGCAGCTATCCGCATTGAGGTACGTATATGTTGGTTTAATAATAATATTATTATTATGATCCGGTCGGGTACAAGACACAATGGCGTGATGGAAACGGCTGAGGTCTAGGTATAACCATTTTATTCGGGCAAAACGCGAAAGCCGAGTGCAGAAATTTTGGTTCGCCCTGGCAATAATACACAACATTGGTATTTCAACAATGGATACTTACATTATGCAAACACTCAACGCCGTTGCCCAGAGTGTTTTCAATAAATACACACATATACAAACACACTCGATAGCGTTTCTCTATGTTTGCGTTTGCGAGTATTTTCGTTATTTATTTATACCAAACTTTTAGTATACCATAAAAAAAAAATCCCCACAGACGAGTGCAACAAGTGTGATATAAATCCGAAAACTGTGTTTTGAGTGGTTTTTCAATAAAAAAAATTCTTCTCTCCCAATGTACTGTACTGCACACCCTACGCACTGCACCGATGTCTTATAACGGTTATAGAGTAGGTATCATCACATCACGGACCGACTGACGTTCAATATACGGCTGGTGCCGATTCCATTAGCAAAGGGATCGAACCTTCATGGATTCGCGGGTGTATTATTATAATAAGGACTTGACCGGTATAATCTCATGAGCCGCCGACTACCGGGCCACCGCCAGCATCTTGCCGCAGCAGCATATAGTGCCATTTGATTTTCATGTCTATGGTATTTCCCGAACAGTGCGCATTTGTTAACAATTCTTCGTCGGAAAGTGCTCGTTTTAAGTACGTCGAGGATAGCTTCCAAAACCGTTTGTGTATACACATAAATATATCTAGTGCTCACGACGACTAAGCTACTTAACTAGGTCCTTAAATACACTCTACTTGTCTGATGTATTATTCATGCAGTTATTACGGAAAAATACATTCCAATTATATATATATATATAACTACTGAGAAATTCTGCTGAAAATTTATATCGATTTAAACTACTTACACAAGTACTTTTGAAATGTTCACTGTAAAATTATTTATTATCGTCTACACTTAAACGAACTAAAGCCGATCATTAATTTTAATTATTTATTTAGTCGAATTTAATTTAACCGGATAACGAACAAAATACATTTTTTCTGGGATTCTACTACAAAATGGTCAATATCGTTAATGATAATATTTAAAATAAAGCTGATTAATGTGAAAACTGCAACATCTAGTTACAGATAACAGGTAAACACTGATATAACTAGAAGTCTTAAGAGGGCGTCGCACCGTCATTTTTAAGGAGTAAAGTATAGGCAATTTTTTACAAAATCTTAACTTAAAGGTTAAACTGTAATGTGTAATTATTAGTTCAATAACTAGGACTTTATTTTGGTAATTAATTTATTTTTTGGACTATCACAGCATCCTTGAAAGCTATTTAAAAATGTTTTTTCATCTCTACATGTTTAAGCAGACTGAAAATAACTCGCTTAATTTTGGTTTTAGAGTAAAAGCACTCATTATAAAATTAAAAGAGAACAATATTCCGGAGGGCAAAACGGTGCGTATTTTTCATTATTCTAAGTATAACGCTCAATACATAGTTTAGAAATAACGACTATTTTAACATTTTTAAATGACTGTAACTTTTCAAAAAATGAACCGTCTTGCCCTCCGAAATATTGCTCTTTTAATTTTTTTATTGGTGCTTTTACTCTAAAACCAAAATTAAGCGAGTTATTTTCAGTCTGCTTAAACATGTTTTACCACTGAAAATCACCGGTGCGACGCCCTCTTAAAGAATGTCTAAAAACAAAGTCGCTGATTCAGTCTGACCATTTATTTTTAAAAAAATTTAAAATTAAAACTTGAAATTTGTTTATTACCTTAAAGGATATTTACTGTAATATTACTAGTAATTATATTAATGAAAAAAATCGGTGTAACAGAAAAAATATTACTGTATATCTACATAATAAAATAGTGTATCGTATGAGCATTGGATTAGATCCAAGTTAAATAATATAATATAGTCGGGTACATTATTTAATATTTTTTACATTTTTTGTAATTATAACAACTCTTTCGATAAAGAAAAACTTTTTTTTTTTAAATGACTATGTCTACAGTATAAATTGAATACCTACTTTTATCTAAAAAAACTTTTCAAAAATCCCTACACATAGAATTCCAAATATTGTGTTCAATGATCTGATAACCGTGGCGTATGTTTGTTCTGCTTATAAAATGTTTACCTTGAATCATTGTTTTTCCAGTTGTCTATAAAAATTTCCTCAATAATTTACATAAATATTGTAATCTTTCTCATTTTCGTAATTTACACAGTAATCAGATTTTTAGTAAATTGCACTATGTCCGTCCATAATTCAACGCAGAATACAATAATATAGGCGACTAGTGAATAGATAGTAAGAAAATTATACTCACAAATTATCATATGCTCAAAAAGTGGTGTTTTATGTAATTTTTAAACATTTTGTTCGTTAATTTGTTCACCGTAAAATGTTTGTAAAAACTCTTTATAAAAATACATCTTTCTCATAGTCCCTTAAAACAAGAGAATTTGGTTTTCGAGCATTTATTTAAGATAATTAATTTGGAGAAAAGAACTGCGCTTTATATAGTTTAAACACAACCATCATAATTGTTGTATACGCGAATAAATGAATAGATGTGTTTTTCAAGTAATAATGAAGGTGTATCTTTATGACACTTATACGAGTATTATATTATGTTCAGTATGGTACAAAAATTCCATAGATCCCAATAAGTTTTGGGGCAGTTAGTAACATGAAAACAGAGTCCGTTTTATTATAAATATACACATAGATGCAATGAATAATACCAAAAAGATACTTTTTACAAAAAAAACTTGAGAGTTGATCAGAATTGAATTTGAAAAGTTCTGGGAAAAGTGATAAACATTAAAATCGCTTCTATACAGTGAACATTTTAGTTTTTTGATTTTTACATTAATTCGTTTTTGTAACTTTGAAAATTCCTATAGTTGATGTCTATTCGTTTTTTTAATGATTAATAATCGCTATTTTTTTTAAATGTAAATTTTAAGTTAGGTTATCCTACTTTTACGTGTTTCCTTAAAGATTTCTAAAAAATATTCTTATGATATTAAAACAAAATTTATAAAAAAAAATATTATAGTTTTGAAGGCGATTTTTAAAATGCAGTGATGTAATGTCTAATGGAATTTTACACCCCACCCGCTAATACTTTTGGCGTTTATCCAGTTTCTGTCTCGAATAACTAGAGTTCGCCAAGTTTAACTTTTATACTAATACCTAGCTTTTAACTTTTCTACTGAAATAATTCACGATATTGAAATTTCCTCAAATATTATTCGAAAAAGTATGCCAATTTTCTAATATAGAAGTAATTCTTTATTACAGCGTAGGGATCATTCGTGATCTCAATTTTCAACAAATTATTATCCCCTTCCGAAACTAGTATTTTTGAAACTTAAATGGTAACGTATATATTTTTTTAACTTTTTGAATTAAGAATATTTTACTTAAAAGTTTGATTGGTTGATAACCAGTTTTGGAAAAATGTTTTTAAAGTTATAAGAATTAAAAAATTAGGATGAGAAGGGAAGTGCGGTTGCGAAATGCGTGCAGATAAAAATAATACTACACTCCCCCTTTCCCCCTGCCCTAAACTTGAAACTTCAATATATATATATATATATTTTTTTGGCCCGAAGATTTATTTTTATTTTGGCTAGTCACAAAGGGATTTTTCATTTTCCATTTATATAAACCACAAGATAAACTCTGTTTTTTTTTCAATTACGCATAACTTTTTTTTACTGAGATGTATCCATTTTTCGTTATGGAGACGAAAATAAATAAAATTAATTTTTGAACAATAGATAGATGAATACAATTATTGCTCGTATTACATTGTAGGATAGCGTAGAAATTAGAATTTTAATGTATGTTTGACCAGTTTTGATTAATTTAAAATTAAGTCATCGTTGTGACTTGTGAGCCAAATGAATTCTCATCAACATTGTTAACTTTCCTACAGTGACCATATTGGCTGGCATTTAACATACCTACTGTACATCCCATAAGGGTTTCCGCAAAATTCTTACCAATAAAACGCTGATGATCAAACTGTTCGTATTTGGAGAGATCTACTGTTGAGTCGTTGAACGACCAAAACGGACTTATCTTGTCGGGTTCCTCTTCCGTATCAGTGATAACCGTGTTACCACTGTGGTCGGTTGTATTTTCTAAAGACAAAAAAAAGGTTTTAGTTGATTAATTACAATGTATTGATTAAATTGTTAAAATAGTTAATGTGTAATTTTTAAAATGACATTAGTTTATTGTAACAAAACATGCGATTCTAAATAGGTATAACTAGGAAAACCGATATTACCAAGTTATTCTTAATAATGGTATCTTAAGTATAATAATATACAACGAAGTCCTATTACGTTATGGCTAAAAAAAGTATACCGAGTCAAAACTCAAAAGTAAACAACCAGATTGAATATTTTCCTTCATATGGAACCAACCCATTGATGAATTATAAACTAAAATGTCTTTCCTAATCAAACGTCTCAATACAACTACATCTATTTAGCCGACTTGGTCTCCTATTTAGACCCTGTCCGAAACTAAATTACACCGCGTTTGTTACTTATTGTTTATAATTAGTGCAGTCTTATTTGAGTAGTTGCAAATTTCTAACTCGTCGTGGACCGGAGTCAGCCGAATAATAATTACTTTTCATTCAACATAACATATGAATGGATAATTAAATTATCTAGATGGTATGCGCTATCACACTTGACTAAACCCAGTTGATTGATTTTCTAGAATCTCGATAGAATACTGCCGAGACAAAATTACGTACGTCGACCTTTACAAAATATCACTTTCATAATAGTAATAATGAAAAATAACATTTTTAATAATAGTTTAGGACATTTGTTTTTAAAATTCGAAAATCGAAAAAAATGGTGGATACATTTTTGATTATAGCATTAGTCTCAAGAAGCAATACCCGAAATTTAGGTCATACGTCATAAAACATTAAACATCCTGTATTAACATGAATCAGTTTCATGATATAACATAACAACTTCCATGGAATTTATTTTATTAAATGGCAAAGTGAAATGCTGGCATTTATCGACCAGAGTGAAGTTGTTGACATTAATTGGTTTGATCAAAAATAGTTTTCCTTTATAAAGCTTCAAACGCGCAAAGTTTTAAAGACAACACAACATTGTGATTTTCTGTTAATTTAATTTGGATTGTTTTTTAGACGCCACGTTCTTTTGACAGCACTCATTTTACCGTCGCCCTTTATCTCTAGTGGTGGGCCAACGATTTCAAGACTTCGGGTCAGACCGTAACTATATTATTTTATGATAGACCGAGTATGTCGTACAAATAGTCACGGGTGATTTTCCAAGCAGCTATTTTTGAAAATAAATTATACTATACTTTTATACAATATGATGAAAAATAATATTACAGTATAGATACCTGCTCTAGTATTTTTTAGACGAATAGGCCACATAATGTTTGATTTCTTAGAAAAATGATATAGAAAACACTTTTTTTACCCTTTCATACTACATAATACTATAATTTATCTATTTTCTATATGACATCTGCTCAAATTTATGAGATTGGAAATTATACAGGATACCGCGTGATTCGCCGTTGACGGGGGTCCGTGTAAGTTGACTTAAACCCTTTACTACCATGGCACAACTCGTTATAAATCGTGCACTAATTTTACCCTAAACCTCATCACGGTCACTTACCACCTAGATACCCTACAGTTTAGATTCCTTGCGACATCATATAGGTAATATACTATAGAAATAAGTGAGTCTAGGGCAGAAGACTTCTAGCATTTGCATATTTGTTTTGCACAGCCATAAAAAGAGGCCAACCATAAAGAAATTTGTTTTATGTTATGACAAAGCCAAATCTGTAATTTTATGTTGCATATTTTTGCATATTTAGGTCGTTTTTGCTTTTTGAGACATTTTTAAGTTATATATGCTTTTTAGGGGGATTTTTTTGAACATTTTCTTTAAAAATAATTTATCTAAACAATAATCAGTAAAAAATTTCTAAAATATTGGTAATATATTTTTTTTTTTTAGAGAATGAATATCAAATTATTAAAATAAAAAAATCAATTTTTCAATATACCTATCTTTAATAAATTATACATTAATTACAGTATAATTAAGTCAATAGATAGTAAAAGTTTCTTTAAGCCAAAGTTTTTATTCATTTATTGGTCGTGGACTCATAGTATAGCATATAAATATAATTTAATTTAGTCAGTAATTGTTTTTAATTTTTTTAAGTAATCAATTTGTTTAATTAAATCGCTAAAAAAAGTTTGTAAAGCATGCAAATAGTGCATATTTTAGGGTTTTTTTAAGTGCATAAGTGCTTGCATATTAAGTGTTTTTTTTAGAGCTACAAGTCCTCTGCCCTCAAAATAACAAATCAAAATCTGTTCGACCGATTATCGATTCTGAGTTTTTCCAATAATATATACGGTCGTTTTTTTTTTAGGAATGTGTACATCAAAGTCATAATAATATGTATTAAAATATAGATTATCACTAATAGATTCATTTCGTCGGGCTGATGGCCGTCTTTGTATAGTATCTGAGTGCTTTGTTCCGAATTTACATATGGCATTGCAGTAAACATCGGGCAACTGATGTCAAACACAATAACAATATAATATGGCACATACATTATACAATATTTCCCTACGCTTGGACGTTTTACAGGGGATGTCATCACACGTTATTATTCGAAAATATTTCTAAACGGTTACTGTAGTCTATAGCACGCCAAGGCCGCTCTCATGGTAATGATTTACTCACAGAACGTTTGTTGACAATGTTATCCGTAATTGTGATGATCGCGATGCCGCCCGTTAAATTAGTTTTAGCCTCCGTTATAATAATATCATATATAGAGTCGTTCTAGACCGTTCCACTGTACACAGATAACGGAATGCACATCAGAGAATGGGTCCAACCAAACTCCGACCATTGTTGGTATTCGCGCATTGTTATCAGCTGCTGCCGTCGATTCGAACCGCATAGCAAACTGAATTACAGAAAATACAGCACCTCCAGAAAACTACTCTTTAATACACAAAACTGGCCAACCATAGATAGGTACCCACGTGACGTCTGCCGCCATTGTTAAGAAAAATACAATCACTAGTGTAATCACTTCGCGTAGCATTCAAAATTCTGTTATAAACCAGTAATTATTATTTTCAAAAAATTCCAACTTTTCGTACTGATGAAAAATAATTTCCAATATTATGGAAAATCAGCCAAATGCTCAGTAAAAAGATAACGCGTGGGGATAAACTGTAGCTAATCTTAGTTTATTTCATTCATTCAATTGAGTCATACAGTAAAATATAAGAGTACTATAATATAATTTTTAATTACTCTCACAATGAATGTAGGTATCCCCGTAGGGCTCAATTATAAAAATTACTGTATATTTAATAAAAAATTATACACTAATTTTACTTTCAACCGGTAATATATTAATACATAATGAAATACTTCTTGGTACATTTAAAATGTATAATTATTAATAATTTACCTAAATGTTTTTAAGTATTTTTGATAAAAATTAATATTTTTAAATGGTACCTAGTTTAGACAAATTAAAAATGTTATGTTATGTTTGGTTTTAAAAATCAAACATGACTGTAAAATACTTGCTAATATACTTTACAGATTGCCTGATTAAAATCCAGACAGTGTAATGAAAATAATGACAGGTCGATAATTGTTTTGAATAAGTAGATTCTTGAGTAATGAGCAAATATACAAAAATAAATTAGCCTTTCGTAGACATAAACCAAAATCACTTCTAACCTTCCTTCACGATCTACAAATTAATATTTTATGTTCACCAAAATCCGAACTTAAGTCCCAACTATTAAGCCTGTATTAAACTAACTATTAATCTGGCCTGTACCTACATTTTAAAATAAACAAAACTATAAGTTAACAGCAATTAAAAATAAGTTTGTATAGTATAAATAATGTATTTTATATGTTATATTGAGTCCTAAAGAGTTAAGTTTCAAGGTAATGAAGCCTTCATGGTTGTTATATTGTCACATATTAAGTTCTTGTCTCTCGGTGAGTAAACATCTTACAAGCTGAGCTATATTTACTGTGCACCAGTTTGATCTAAACCTAATGCTATTTTTTTTTAACAAACCTACAATATATCCTACCGATTTTTTTTTTTTTTTTTTACGTAAAAACTGATTAAAAGTTAAAACAAAGTATCAATATAGGTTGCCTATTAAAAAAAAAGATTAATTAATCGAGAAAGCAGCGAAAAGAACAATAATCAAATCGACAAATTCTTTGTCAACAAAAAAATATCACATAATAATATGTTTTTACGGTGCTTCAATGGCGTTTATATAAGTGGAAAATTTCTATGGGTTCGCCTTTGTAGCTTCAAATCCAAATTAAAATCGCTCAGTCACAAAACTAAACGGCTTGGAGGCGCTTCAAAAGGAAAACACAAGAATGCGAGTTTATTCCAAGCGTGTGTTAACTGTAGTTTCCAACCCGAACAAAAAGGAAATCTTTACAATGGTGTTCTTCCCGTGTCAAAGTCGTTTTCCACATGTTATTAAAACTTTTTCGATCCACACACATAAATTCTACTATCCACGACCTGTGTCGGTACAAAAGTTTAGTTCTATAAACCCGAACGTTGTGCCGGTTGCCTCTAGACATATCGAATGAAGGTTCCGGAGCCCTTCCGAGAGCTTTATATGAAAACACATAACGCAATAATATTGCTAACTGATATAGTAAACATGATCACCTAAAGCATTGCCGTTATCACATAGTTTAAACGTACCAGGTTATTGTTTTGCTTCCACTTCTCTTTTGAAATTGCTATCAACGATTTTTAAAAAAATATTTACATAATATACAATAAAGTAATTTGTATGGCTATAATGTGTTGGAGAAGCAATGCATCAACCTGGTATAGTATATTTGAGCCATGACTGTTGTAATGCCCATGCGACACAAGAACTAAATTTTAAGAATTTTAACTTTAAGGATTTATTTTGTTGTTTTAGGAGTATACCTATGATATAAATAATATTATATAAAATGAGTATAATATACCTGTTAGTTATTTTTTTAATTTAATTTCTATCAATTCAACCAAAATG